GAGGATGGAGTGGCTGAAGTTCAAGAGGCCTAGTAATGCCGCAGAGAAGTTTGTCGTTGAGGAAGATGCCAAGAGCCTGCAGAACGAGAACAGCAACAACAACGTCCAGGCAGCCCCAGTGCCCCCAGCCGCTCCCTTGCCCCCACCGCCCCCCGCCCTGGCCGCCAGCGGGAACACCGCAGTGTGGCGGGTGCCAACTGTGTCCGGCTCCCTCACTCCCAAGTTCATCAACAAGCAGCTGAAGAAGAGAGGTCATAGCAGTGCCCACAACGCCCTGGTGTCAGAGCTCAAAATGAAGTTTGAGAAGAGAAATGCAGCTATGGGTGAGCCACATATCTAGGCCACGTCTAGGTGCTCTCGGCAGCCCCGGGGACTGTGGGTTGTGGCTGCACAAGGGTATGTTATGTGCCGTGGTCTTCCCCGTGTCTGTCAATACCCGTGAACTGAGAGCAGCTTCTCGCTGTGATAGCCGCCCCTCACCTTCCAGAAGCATTATGTGCTGTGGAGTCGTCCCACCTGTATCAAACGTTGTGGTCTGTGCACGGTTAGGACTGCCGTTCCTTCATCCCATATCCCCGCGCTGGTTCCACCCTGCAGCTGTCTAACCAGGGTGCTCCGTATGCTCTTGCGCCAACCAGAGCCTCCCAAAGTGAGCAGGACTTTGGGCTGCCCCTGTTCCAGAGGCCCTTAGCCAGCACTCTGCAGATGCCACTTCTGATTAGGTATGGCAGGTGGAGCTGAGGCATCCAAAAACCCATCACTTCAAAACCCATAATCAGTTCAGAAGGCATTGTTCTGGCTGCGGCACCAGGGGCGGTGTGCAGGTCTCCTTCTGCAGCAGCTCACAGAACACTGAGAGCAAGTTGTGCGTAGGTGAGACCTGTCTTCAGGCATGATGTGCAGTGCAGCAGCTGGTGGAATTATGTGCTAATGGCGACAGCATCCTGCGTTCGTCCTGCGTGCAGGCTTGGAAAAGTTCTTCATTGTCCTGCAGCTTATGCTGGACTTTGCCAGAGCATATTGGCATAATCATTCTGCTCTGAGATTGCCAGCTAACCTGAGGATGGGAGGACAGCTGGGGCAGGATGCAAGCACAAGAATTCGGTAGCAGTGCTCACCTGATACTGCCTCCTGACCACATCCCCTAATGAGAGGCAAGCCGGCAGAAGGATGTGATTAAAGCAGTGGGGAAAATAAGGCAAAGCCAAAGCAAAAATGATATCTGAAAAATAGAAACAAAGTGCTGGAAAGTCATATATGTCAGTCAGGGATGTGTCTAGAAAGATTATTTGGTTCTGTACAATGCTAGCAGGGGGCTTGGAGAACAGATTTTATCATCTCTACCAGCTTGCTCCAGGGACTGGAGACTGTAAAAGGAGGTTCCATAAAATATTCTGGTTTGTACTAGCAGTGTTTTGCCTGAATTATGCAGCAGATAACTGGAAACACTTTTTTTTTCCTGTTATGTGACAGTAAAAAGGCACTGGAGGCAGAGCAGATTTTTACTGGGTCTACCTTAGTTTCTATGTCACGCTTGTCTCTGAGGAAGTGTTTTAAGCTGGACCTGGGGAGAAGGCAGCACGCACTGGTCTGACTGGGGAGAAGCACCCTGTGCCCACACTCCTGCCCCTTAAGGCAGCATCGCCAGCTGCCTTAGGTTGGCTGTCATGGACGGACACCATGAACATCAAGATGGGGAGCAAACCCTAAGTGACAGAATGCTGTGTTAATCCAAAGGGGCTGTGAAGCTTCTCAAACAACTGCTTTGAGTCCTTTCAGCTGGACCAGCAGCCTGGCCCCTCGGGGGCTCCTCTCCCCTCACTCCATTAGCTGATCTACTTCTTTCATTTGCACCAGGACTTCATCACCATGAGGAGCTAGCATGTTGAACAAGAAATTACCCACTTACCAGAAACAATCCCATGTTTTTTAACTTCTATTCACTCCAGTTCACCATACCATGTTCTTGCCACCAGTGGACTGATCCAGGAGCAGCAGAGAGGAGCCATGGTGCCCAGTGCTGCTCTGCCAGTGGGCCCAAGCTTGTGGGGAGAGTACAGGGCTGGGTTCCAGGACGTTCCTGTGCCTCAGGCTCACTGGGAGCGCGATGCAGTGGGCCTTGCTCCCAGATTGTGCTGGAGAGGTACAGCTGCTCAGACCCCATGTAGATCAGGGACTGAAAACTGCAGAGCAGCAAGGAACAGCAGTCTACCTGGTTTTGTGGGGGAACACAAAATAATATACATTCACTCATGAACGCACTTCTCTGAAGCAGTTCCTGCGTTTGGGGCTGCACAGGGAGCTGTGTGAGAAACGATGTGGCTGTAAACCTTTTTAAGGAGTCCTCTAAGGACACTTTAATCTGAGTGTGATGCCTGGAGCCAGAAAAGCCACAGACCCTCAGTGGAGAGATGGATGCTCAGCAGGGAGGAGCAACCCTTGCTGGTACCACACTACCTTTCCCACTGTACCCTTCATCACTCCTGTCATCCAGCTTTCCTTCAGGACCCGCTGCCCATCCCTCCTCTTAGCTTCAGGCCCCTGCATCACACACTACGTCTTCATCCTCTGGCCAAGGCCATTTGAGAAAGGGGAGACGCAGCCTCATTGCCATTGCTCAGCCCCGGTCCCACGGCCACAGCCCCACACGTGCTCCTTTCTCTGGCTTGTGTCTCCTCCAGGCTCTGCAATGCTTCATGGGACACCAAAACCTTGTGATGTATCCTGTGTTCCACTCTTTTCCCAATGTTGTGTTGAAGCCAGTATTCAATGTTTATTCTCCATGAGGAAAGCCTATAACAACCATTCAATTAAGTGAGATATAATTAAGTGAGATTTAGCAGGAATTATAGGCTTATAGTCTTAGAGATTATATTTAAGGAGGAATAAAAATGTTTTATTATGATGTTGTGAGACTTTTCCAGTTACTCTGTATTTCAACTTCAGAAAATTTTTTAATAAATAACAAAATATATATATATATTGAAAACTTCTCACAGTGTGTTTCTTCTCATGGTGTTTCCACTGACAGAGATGTCTGTATGCTTCTTGTTTGTGTGCTGCATGACCAGGATGGCTTCCCAGGCCGGCTGCGTGACCCCTGCTGGGCAGCTTTTGTGGGACAGCAGTGCCCCTCCTTTGGGGCACATTGGTAGAGGGGCCTGAAACCACTGCCCTTCTCAGCACAGCCAGGTCAGGAGGCCCAGCCCTGCCCCTCGCTGCTCAGCACTCTGGTTTCTTTGTGATTTGTAATGACAAAAGAACAGAAAGGAAGCAGAGAACACTACACATTCCAAAAACCAGTCATGTTTATTACATTAATACTAAGACAAGACTAAGAAGCCCCTTCAGGTATGACAACAAAAGTCAGCATTGACAAAGCACGTCTGTGTTTAGGAGCCATGCAGGTGGAGGTGCTGCACAGGGAAATGGGGCCTGAGTTTGAACAGCACAAAACATACACAGCCTAGCTTTGGTCACCCACACACAGCTAGAAGCCAAACTGACACATGCTGAAGCTCACGTTAGCTTTTTTTTCCTCCAACTATAGCCACAGTCTCTATTCTGATTTGGTTTTGGCTTTGGGGTTTTTTTTGTTTGTTTGTTTTGTTTTGTGACTAAGTCTACAGTAACCAGTAGAACAAGGGCTGTGGTTCTGCCAGCCACATAATTTGGTTTTACTGGAAATCACAAGGTCAAAAAAAAAAAAAAAAGAAGATGAGTCATGTGTCCTCAGACCCTCTCCAAAAATGCAGTTGCTCTGCAAGCCTGGGCCAGTAGCTCCCACATGCATATTTGGGTGTTTAGGTTTTTTTGCCTCTAGCAAGAAGGCGAGCGCTGGTCGTAAAGCAGCAGGAGAGACCAGTGGTGCATCCTTGTCTGGGGTGGGGGCCTGGCTGCTGCCCAGACTCACAACACTCACAGCAACTAAAGCCCTACAGTCAAGGCCATACCCGCAAAGTGTAGGCAGCCAATGTCCAAATGGTAAGGGTCAGGCCAAGTATCCCCATCACCTTCCCACATCACCCCCACAGCCACTGCCACAAGCCTTCCTGGGGAAGTTGAGAGAGGTGGTGGTGAGAATAGAAAGGGAAACGGTGTTTGAGTATTTGTCCACAAAAACCAAGCTGTTCATTCACCAGCTCTTGTTCTCAGTATTAAAAAATAAATTAATTCACACAACACTTGTGTAACAAAAGGCATTAGATATGCAAGTTTTTGTTATGCAAAAGCATGGCTAAGCAGGAAACTAAACTGCTCATCTAAGACACATGTTTTAGACACAAGTAAATATTCCCTCCCTCTGTATTACATACAGCATTTCCATCAGAAAACAAGTAAAACCCTGCACTGCTGCCACATTATGCTGGTTCACAGGAGTAAGAAAATAAACAAGGGAAAATTCAAAACAAACAAAAAAGCACTCCAAACCACACCCACACCTTCTTACTTTTCCACTTGGCAGCCAACAGAAGTCCACACCTGGCACAGGGCGGAGCTGAAACCAACCTCCATGCCTACCATCTCCTGGGTGGGAAAAATAAAGAAATAATAACAAAAATACTTAAAAAAAAAAAAAAAAAAAGATGTTTATGTGAAAAAGAGCAGGCAGCTCTGGCCTGTTGCTGCACGTGCTTCTACTGAGCTGTAGGGTCTGTGGTTCTGTTACTGTTTGTTTCTTTGCATGCCAGATTGAAGCAGTCACACCATGGCTTTAAAACATTTCTTAAGAAATGACTGCAAAATATTTTTGCTATGTTGTTTGTTAGGTTGATTGAGTGCAACTCAATGTGTGTCTGTGTGCCAATGCATGTTGCTCTGTGGCAGTGCTGGGCAGCCTGGGGTGCTGGGGTTCATGCCCCACAGTCCACCGAGCTCACTGGAGATCCTGGCTGTACACCCCACCATGCCCCACATCTGTGCCACATGGGGAAAGCCAGCAAGATGGAGACCATTCATCAGGCCATGCAGCCACAGATACGTTTGGGGCGGGGGCTGTGCTAATAGAGGTCAGCGCTGTTCCTGTGGGGCAGCCGGGCTTTGCCGGGGCGCTCGGGTTCCTCGCGTGCTGGGGGCCGCCGAGCACCACGGCCGCCATCAGGACGGCAGAGTCCATCCTGACTGCCACCAGGCAGGCTGTCCAGTGTGCTCTCCTTGCTGCCAGCACCCGGCTGCTTGTCTCCACGGCGGCGGCGGGGCCAGGCAGCGGGGCAGCGGGCCAGGCAGCCGGGACGGGCCTCGGCGGTGCAGGCGTACATGCCGGCGGGCACAGCCAACACCATGGCGCAGACGATGACAACAATGTGGATGAGCTTCTCGCGCTGCTCCAGCTGGCTGACGTCGCTGCCTGTTACAAAGACAACACACTGGCCCTTGCGGGGCGCTTGGTTGCGGACGGCCACGCAGACTTCATACTTGGTGGCGGGCAGCAGGTCGGTCACCGAATAGGTGTTGACACCGGGGCCAATATAGATGGCGTCCTTCTGAGCGGTGTCGTAGCGGCCCACCAACAGCGTGTACCAGATCTCCCCCGGCTCTGCCACTGCTGCCGCTGCAAACCACTCCAGGGTGATGCCGTAGACCGTCTGCTTGGCAATACGCACCTCCACATGGGCGCCTGGCTCAACTGGGGCGGCAGCAGCCCAGCCTGGCTGCGTGGCAAAGGCTGGTGAGGTACCCACATGCAGCATGATGGCCACCGAGGCGTTGCCCAAGAAGTTGGCGGCTGTGCAGGTGTAGTTGCCTGCGTCTGCCGGCCTCACAGCCGGGATCAGCAGGTCAGAACGGACGGTCTCCTCGCTGATGGGCTGAGTAGAAACTGCAGGGCAGAAAGAAGCTGTGTCACTGTCTTGATTAGTGATACTGTAGCCCTGAGACCACTTCAGAACAGAGTGGAGGTTAGGGAGTCAAGCAGCTCCAGCCTGTCCTGGGGAAAAGGCAACCGGAGCGTGGCCCTGCCAGCCAAAAGAGCCAACCCAGTCCTGGGGCCGTCGGTCACAGCACAGCTAGCTGGTTGAAAGAAGTGACCGGCCCACTGCACTCAGCATTGGTGCAGCCTCACCTCCAAGTACTACCTGCAGCTTACGGCACTACAGTACAAGAAAGATATAATAGCAATATGTTGTGTCCAAAGTAAGGCAATGGATACTGGAAGGACTGAAATGCATGACTTCCGTGGAGCAGCTGAGGTCCCTTAGCTCACTCAGTGTAAAGAAGAGTGTAAGGACCCTCACTGGCCTCACAAGGGGAGCAGAGAGGCACGTACTGCCCTCAGCTCTTTGGTAACAACAGGATGCGAAGTAAGGGCTTACAGCTGCATCAGGGAAGGGTCAGATGGCAGGAAAAGGCTCTCCACTGAGGGGCTGGTCAAGCACTGGAACACTCTTGAGGCAGTGTTCTCAGCATCAAGCATTCTGGAGCTCGACAACTGTTGGGACAACGCTCTAAGTTACATGGTTTAACTCTTAGCTTGCCCTGTGTGGAGTGACAAGATGGACTCAATGATCTTTGTGGGTGCTTTCCAGTTCAGGATATTCAGTGAACCTACCCTGAGAGGGACATGTTAATGAGCAGACCCTAAATGCCACAGGGCACTCAAGCACTGGAGGCAGGGCACTGGAGGTGGCCTAGCCCACCAATGCACCATCTGCCCTCCATACGTCCAGGCTGCAAGAAAGCAGAGAGGGCTCTCTAGTTCAAACATGTGCTGCATCCTCCACTGGACTGGAAGTTGAAAAATTCCATTCCCAAGAGGCTCTGGCCCAAAAAAGAGGCACATGAGGCCAAGGAAGGGCTGAGCTGGACGCAAAATGCAATTTTAGTAACCCTATGAACTAACCCATCATCTACGCAAACATGGGCACATTAGTAAGAAAAACCTGTGTGTAATTAATCCAGCATGTGCTCACAGAAAGATGCAAAAGTGCTGCTAAAATGCTGAAATAAATCAAACATCAGACCAAGATTAAGGGCAAATGCTGCCTTACTTAGATAACAGGATCGTTAGGGCTACACACAACCTGCACAGGGGCTGTGTGTCTTTTTAGCTTTGAACGTATGAAAATAGCAACTTGCCCTGTTGAAGGCTGGTACCAAAAATAGCTGTGAGGGAGGGATTGCATGAGGCCAGCTGGACAGAGAGGAAGGGAAAAGGTCTCCTAGTATGAAGTCCTCAGCAAAGCAGATAAATTAGCGGGGTTTATGCAGAACAACAGCATTCATTTTGGTTATAGAGTGAGAGTGGACAGTGTCTAGTGATGTGGCTTCAAGGATTTGTGGATTGCATTGATATTTCCTGAGAAAATATATGGGAATAGTCTACAAGTGAGTACGTGTTCAAACATGTAAACACATATATAAATATATAATTATATAATTATATACAGAGAGATATATGTATAGAGAATGTGGATATGGAGGCTATATATGTATATATAGACATATCTAGTCACACACACCTATGTACTTATATAACGTACGTATATTATGCAGTACACATTATATATTTATATGCATGCCTAGATAACTGCACATTTAATATATATGCGTGGCTATGCGAGGTACTATTCTTATATGGAGAGAGCTCTTATATCATTTGCCATGATGGAAAGGCTACTAATAAAAATCCACATGTCATTAAATAATTTTGGAACCTGTTCCTTTCATCTTTGACCAATTTCTTACATGAAGTGTGATAATTAAGATTGCGTGGATTCTTTTGCAACCACAATGACAGTGATGCAACAAAGAGGCAGAGAACTGGTGTGGTGACTAGATGGCCTGAGGGACTATGTCAGCAGAGTAGCGAAACATAAATACAAAAAAAAGCTTTGCTGTGTTTACCATTAAATGCCCGTAGAAGTTTGAGTGCATAGGTCCACCAGACGGCCGGGGCAGGACTGGCTTGAACAAAGCAGGTCAGGGTGATGTTCAGCCCCACTGGGACTGTCAGATTGGTGTCAAGGGCTGAAGTTTGCGGCTTCATGCAGCTGTTGAGCTCCACTTCATGAAAAAACTTCCCTGCTCTGAATTTCGGGCTTGAGCAAGTTAAATAAGAATTCATCAGAATAATAGGAGGACCAACTGACTTGATAAACTGGACAAATCCCCTCAGGCGGCAGTCACAAATCCACGGGTTGTCGTGGAGGGCCAGCACAACGTTGGAAATAGCTTCTCCCTGCCCTGCCACCCTCTGGCTTCTCTGGTAGATAGGCCAGCTGTAGAAGACATCCCTGGATATGACAGTAAGCTGATTTGAGGATAGATCTAAATAGGTCAGGTTGGGCAGATAGCGGAGCGCGTGTTCTGGAAGGACATCCAGCCGGTTGTGCTTCAGGTCCAGAATTTTCAGAGCTGGGGTGTCTTGAAATGCTGTCCATGGCACTGAACTTAATTTGTTCCCTTGCAAGCGCAGCTCCTTCAGAGCCAGCAGGTACTCCAGGCTCTTCATGTGCATCACCGTGATGTTGTTGAAATTGAGCCAGAGATATTCCAAGGCACTAACGTTCGCAAATGACCCGCGAGGCAATTCTGTTAGGTGAGAGTTTTCTATTCTAATTTTTCTAATGTCTTGAGGGATGCTTTCAGGAATCTTCCTCAGCAGTGCAGACATGCAGAGTAAACTCCTGAGGAGGAAACAAGAAAATTCTTTAGGTCGCATACTACTTTCATGGCTAACAAATCAGTTCCCTACATAGGTCTGCAAGCACATGAAGAATTAACAAGCGTTGCTTTCACGGCATGCAGAAGCAGTGTATCCATCCTTCAGTTCAGTTTTACACCATCTTTCCCACTAAGAATACTATTAAAATAATTTTTAAAAAGCATTAAAAAATGTTACACGTGCAACTACGTATGTCAAGGAAATAAAAGAGATCTCATAATTATATCTTCAAGATGGTAATGTGCAATATTAGTTACAGCAAAGGCATACCATGAGGCCACTTGGTTTTGGTCCTCATCACAACAACAAATATGTATAGGAATATATATAGAGAAATCTCTGAGCTTCTTCACTGATGCTACAGCTAAGTTAACTAGCTCTCTTACCTTCCAAAACTGTCTTGAGAACAAGAGCATCCTGTGACACAAGATGAAAAAGAAGGGTTTATCTTGTGGAAGGCCACAAGAAGAAGAAAAATGTGATGAATAGTAAGGTCCATATTCTCCTTTAAGACAGCACTGTGCAGGGTGTTCACCAAACATGCCAACAGCCTCCAAGAAGCAAATCCTATTATCTGTAATCTTCCTTGACGCAGAAATAAATCCTGCTGGGGACCCAAGCCTAAAGAAGACATGTAGTATGGTTCAAGCCTATGGCGAAGGGCTAAAAATCACCCCTGGGCCGCCTCTTACTTAGGCATGGGTATGACAGATTTGCTTGGATGGCAATATAAAGCTCAACAGGTTCCTGAAGCTGAAAACTCTTCTGATCCCAAGTAGTTAACCAGGCCTATTTATGTTTTTTTTTGTTTGTTTGTTTGTTTTAAAATGAGTCTGCTTCAGTTTCCTGTATTTTAATGGCATTCATCAAGGCCAAAAACCACAATAAGGGCCAGACCTCCCAGTTGTGATTTGGCAGCACATAGTGCTGATTGTACAAACCATCAGGCTCCAAAACCTCCTCACAGCTCATCGCAGGGTGCACTATTACACGTGGTGGGCAAGAAAGCTACTCTGCCGTTCTGTCACTGAAACTGGACACTAGTTCTCCAGTGAAACAACTACCTAAATATATATATATATATATATATATTTTTCCCCCTCATTGTCTCCATTCTTACACAATGACAATGAAAACAGCAACACAGGTACAGCCAGTCCATGGACTTCCCTGAGAAAAGACTGGTTTTAACATTCATCTACGTTGTACAAAATATAAAATTTCAGTGCTATTGCAATATTTTAAGTTCTCAGGCTTCCTAAGTAAGTGTGCCAATTGCTCTTTGCCCCCTTGAAAAACTCAGTCTAAATAATTTCATTTCAATATATATATTTTTTTTAATCCAAAGCCAGCAGTTTTCAGTTCTGATTTCCAAGCAGCACTGTGTTCTCTTGGGGCCATCTAGCGTGCTTGAACTTCATTACAGCTTGCTGGATGCAGCAGCCATCAGAAAAGGGCTTAACCTCAGTACCAATACGTATGAAGCTGGGTCACAAATCGAGATTAGCCTGAACCTACTTAACCTCCAACCTGCGGACCAGGATAGAAAAATATTTATAGCACAAAAGCTTAGAACCATACTTGTCTTTTGGGGCACGTGCGCTAGCGTAGCCGCTGTAAGCCTCCAGAAGACATAGGGCTGATTCTGTAGATTTTAAATCAGCAGGTACTTTGATTTTAAGGCTAATCAGAAAAACAAACTGATGGAGAACATTGAGGAATGCTGCTGGGTTTTGTGACTGCTTCCAGCTCACAAGGGGCAGGCTGCAATTAGTGGCCCCACTGGGCTGCCACTGCTGTCTATGCCTAGCAGCTAACCACAGCCATATGGGCATGATATTTTTAGCAAAAAAAATGCACATTACTTACCATGATGTCGTACTTGGTGGTATTTCAACAAGTACCCTGCATTCTAATATGTCATTAGCAAGACATGACATGAAAGAGAAAGGTTGCTGATCTAGTAGTGCGCAGGGACAGCAGCTACTAGCCCCCACCTGACTGTGGTGGCTGCAGGGACATCACTGAGGGGTTCTTACAGTGTGGAACCAGCACAGACCCTGAAAGCCAACATAGGTGCTCCTTATCCCCTATTAGTATGGCTTAAGTGGCAAAGTGGTCACGGGTCAGTGGGGCTTGCTGGCTGGACCAGGAGGGCTGAAGGAGTCACACAGGCAGCAGCGATGAGAAGTTGTGTCACACGGTGGTCTCAGCCATGGGAACAAGACTCCATGGGCTTACTTTGTGTAGGCATGAGCATCCTGGAAAGCAAACACCACAGGTACCTGTGCTTGCAGTCCCGTCCTGTAGTCTGCCATCAAAATAACTCCTAATGGAACAATGTTATTATAATTTTATAGTAATAATTTTGTAATTTTACAATTTATTATAGCTGCTGATAATATTACATGATAATAATAGTAGTAACATACATACCAAAAAAGAGTTGGGCATCAGGAACAAGACTACGTGCACTGCAGAAGCCACTAGGGAAACACTTTCACACGAGGCAAAAAAAAAAAAAAAAAAAAAAAAAAGTCGTAATGGCACTCATTTGAAAAAAAAATGCTCATTTCATGAGCCACCAAAGTTCAACCTCCAATACAGCTGGTTGATGAGAAGTTCTGGTTGTTTTCTTGGTTCCACTTCTCCCAGTCCCACCTATTTCCTATGAGGCTGAGAAACGGCCTTTCAAGCAGAGCTGTCTGCCGGTACCACGGGCCAATACATTGGCTGTTCTAAAGTTGATATTTATTTGCTACTTGAGAGGCCATTTAAATATTCCCAAATATTTCCCAAAATTCCCAAGTGTACTCAGAAGGTTCAGTATTAACCTGAGGAACTACTGAGGAATTCTATATCAAAATAAGATGAATTGATGGGGAGAGAGTAACCACACTATACGGCAGAGACTGGGAGGGGAAGAAAGAGTATATATCCTGCAAACAGTGTTAGCCAAAGCCTTTATGTTTATGCTCCCTACTGGAGTGGGATTTTGTCGCGTCTTCAATTCAGCCGAGTTTATTCCTGCCTGTAAATTTAATGGTCACTTTTGTGGCAGCAGATGTCCACTCAGTTCAGCTGCTCTTTACCGTCATGTGGCATCACGATTGAAGCCAAAATGCAGAACAAGCTGTCTAAAACCCAAGCTGTCAAAATAAATTTCAATAGAGAGATTGTATGCTAATCCACGGGAAGTGGAGTTTAAGAGATCACGCTCATTGCCAAAGCAAATGCTGAAGGGAAGCCCCTCGCATGCCTCCAGCAACAGAAAGGGATCCAAACTGTTGTCTTGAAACGATGGACACATGCATTTGCAAGAAATCAAGTTGAGGCCAATGCTTTACAATTAGAGGCCTTTTACCAGGGTTATCACAGCTAGAAATCCCTGCTAGGGAGGGCAAATGAGGTGAAGGCTGCAATTGGGTATTTCAGACACGGTGCATCTAACACCAAATGGCACAGGGCTGAAAAAGCAGCTTTTTAAAAGAGGACAGTGATGTGAAAAGGAAGAGGTAAATTCTTTCACGAACCTTCAGCAGCAGCTATAGAAACCTGCAAAACTTTCCCCATTTTCTCAGTAACCCAACACCCCTGGCAGCATCCCTCTGGGATCCCTGGCACAGCACTGACCTTAGCAGGTCCCGCAGAGGGCGGGCAATGAGGCCACCAGCCCCCCAATACATTTAAATCACTTTATGGAAATGAGGTGGCTATCAGCCAGTACATTATTCTGCACCTGTGGAATTTTTATGCATATGTTCCACTGAAAACATTTGCAGGGACTTCGTAGTTCAGAGCACATACTATTCTTTTTCTGGATCTGCTCATCAGACAACCTGGGCACTTCTGAACATGCTTGCAAAACCATTTTTCAAAGCCATAACCTTCTTTTTTACTTTTCTTCTAATGCACATCAACTACTTGCAGTACTCCTTCTTTTTAATCACTTTTGTCATATTATTTCCTCTGTATTCTGCTCAGTTCTTTCATTTTGATTGCTGCTCTTCTCAAGAGTCTTTTGATTAAAACCAGTTTTTTCGGTACAATTCAGAGCTATTTGGATCCATTTTTAAAACACTATTATGTTCTTATTGACACCTTATCCTTAATATTTCACTTTTGCGCCAAAAAAAACCAAAACATTAAAGTGGGGATGTGAGGGGGAGGGAGGGGAAAGCACGGAAATGGTCCTTACAGCACTTCTGTCCAAGGACAGACCTTAACCAAGTAAGAAGCTGTTCCCAGGAATGAGCTCTGAGCCAGCTCTGTTTGGTGTGCCGTGACTGGAGAGCATCACTTGCCTGCTGACCCTGCTGAAAAGAGGTCCCTAACACCCATGGGTTAAAGAAACAGAAAAGTGCAATGAGGTTTTTATTTGAATTTTCACTTGCCTCATACAACTGCAGATCTCATCCAAAGTTTTGAAATTCACCTGCCATCCATTCAGCAGAAAATCAGTTTACCTGTAACAGTTTGAAATTCCACATACAGTTTAGCAAAGTATGACACCACAGAACACAAAGCTTACACATGTTTCAATCTATTGCCTACCTTGCGTGAATCACCAGTCTGGTACAGATATTCTGGTTTTGGAGCAGCAGCTGAGCTGCTAAAGCATTTTGCCTCACCTACAGGACGGTAAGAATCACCATAGGAAATAGAAATGGAAAATCACATTTATTCTAGTTGGGATTGCTATTTATTTCAAGTGCAAAAAATATCCAGTAGAGCTTAAAGCTTAACACATCCACAAGGAAGGCCATGGAATGACCTGTCCTTCCCATCCCCACAGGTAAGGAATGATGGAACTAACCCAACCCGTGCCTTTATCACTGTAGTTGCAGATCGTGTCTTGGAGTGGGCAAGTGCTGTTCTTTGCCAGGACTAGGTGTGGCAAATTATCCTGCGCCTGCCTCCAGGCAACTGAAAGGTAAATACATCTCACTCCCAGATGGCTGCAAACCTCACTGGTGAAAAGTCCTTGGGCAGCAGGGCCACTCCATTCGCCACAGGAGAGCTTCAGGACAGCCTTCATTTTTCAATACTAAAAATTAGCCAGCCGTGCTGGGCTGGGCTCCTTGCTGATTTCTGCACAGCCCAATGCAACACCACTACAGATGAGGGCAGGAATTGGGTTGAAGAAAACAACAATCCTTTCAATCCATACAAAAAACTGCTACTGGAACAACATTTTTAATCCACCTTGAAGAATGAGACTTGAAATCAGTCCTGGGAAATATAAATGTATAAATAAATAATAGGTCTATTAGATACTACCTATTTCATCAGTTGATCTATCGTGTTAAAATACATTTTGAAAAAGGTTATTTGTAAACATAAAAATCTATGCAGCAGCATGAATTGCTATATAGAGGGTCTGAAAAATTCTCCCGGTACAAGAGAAGTTCCTTCTCATGAACGTAAGGAGGACAGAGAGTCCTATCAGAAACCATTGTCGCGTACTCAGTTGCTAGCTTTTACACTGAGATCAAATGACTTGGGGTTTTTTTTCCATCAGGTCAAGTAGTCTGACATCACAGAAATCCTTCAGGACAAGAAGGACTTGCAAAATACAGTGTCATTCCAAGTACTGAATTTTGTAAATCCACATTGTACGTACACATCCAGAATGTGAGTGGAGATCTTTCCAAGACATTTACAAGCATACATTTCAAATTGATTCCAAAAGACTGAGGCTTCATCAATTACCATTTCAGCTTGATTGGATCCTTCCCATTCAACATTTGGCAGATCTTGCATCATTTTCTTTATATTTATTACGTACAGAAAGCCATTATATACAGTATTACAACCTAAGGGACAGGAGTGAAAAATTACACAGCTAGGAAGTGCTTTGTGATAAGTATTCAGATCCAAATTCCCGCAGAATTGCAGGACTTGAGTAACAAATAACTGATTAGCAAACCGTGGTTAGAAAAACACATTTAGACAAATATTAGCTTTTTTTTTTTTTTTTTTTTTTTTAAACAGAGATCTCAAACTTGCAAAATAGCAAAATGTTTGAAACCCAAATATCAGCATGGAGCCTTTGCCACCATTGCTGCCACAGCAGAAGTACTGCAGAAGTGTGCCCGGTCAGCAATACACACCTCTGCTCTACACAGAGCAAGGGATTTTCGTGGCTGAACCACAAGTGCCCAGCTAAGCCCTCTGATCTTCGCTACCAGTTTTACCAGTACAGCCAGCAGCAATGACAGGGCTGCTCTGGGAGATTTTTACAGAACTATCTAGTGTAGGTTTTGCAGTACAAAACGTAACAATGCCACACATAATTTGCAGAAGAGGCTACTGTATGATTTTTAAGTAGCATAGCTGATATAAATCATACTGTACTAATTACAACACTGCTAGAAAACGACAGCTAGGTCTGATACTGAAAGATCTGCGTGGTACTGTTGTTCAATTGCATGATAAGAAGAACAGTGGTTAGGGTCAAAATGCCGTTCTCAAACTTACTCTCTTATGTGTTCTTAGGAGTCTATTTTTGCTTTTTGTCTCGAGTCATATCTCCTTGCACATTTCTTTGAACTGAGAATAAAAAGCTGTTGTTAGATGTACTACAAAGAGTTGTATTTAGCTATCTGTTAAGCATGAATTTGCCTGTTTCATGCAAATATGTGGTGCATAAAAGGTAAGACTCTATCTTCACATTCACAGATATTTGTATTAAAATTATCAAGTACTCCCCCATTTGTAAACCAAAGAACCATAAAAGAGCTGCAAATAAAACACTTAGCATATTGCAGAGCAGGTACTAAACAGCACTGAGCAGAGCATGCTCAAATGTGTTGCTTAATGTCCTCACACTCAGTGTGCATGCATCATTTTATGAAAATAAGAATGGTCCAAGAGAACGAGACTGTTAGCACAGAAGCTTTTGATTGAGTAGAAAACGTCAAACCCCAGCTGGCCAAACAACACGTTCCTATAAAGTCTGAGCATCTTCTACTTTCCTCCAGAACACGTCCGAGACACACACATTGACACAATGGCATGCAGTGTTGGAGCACGGTCATATATATGGCCATACGCTTTCCATCTAACAAGCCAATGACCAGCCTAGTAACTATCAGCAAAAGTATTCATTTGGTTGCCCCTCTATCTTTGGTATTGCTTCTGAGTCCACACTGGATCGGGCAGAGAGGAGCCTGTTAGACTCATCGGGGGTATGTCTAGTCAAGTATTCTCCTTCCACTCCTTTCACCTTGGCCCCAGGAGAAAGACTTTCAAAGGTGACATAGGACTCCTGAATTTCCTTGGGTTTCCTCACAAAGCACTTTTTGCAGCGTCTCTTCAGTGCTCCACAGCAGACCACCAGTGTCAGAGGAACAGCAATGACACAAGCCACACTGATGACAACCACGTTGATAAGTTTCTGGGTCCCTCCTGCACTAGCAACTTCATCTGTGGAAAATATGATGCACTGCTCCTTCCTGGGGATCAGCCCTTTCACGCAGACGCACATTATATATTTGGTCTTTGGTAGCAGCCCATAAATGCTGACCTTGGTCTTCCCTGGTTCCACATTGATCCGACGCATGTCTCTCTCTCCAAAGACAGCGTAGAGGACACTGAACACTGTCGTGTTCTTTGCCAGAGGTGCCTTCCAGGCCAGGGTGACACTCTGGTCAGTATCTCCTATCACTCTGACAGATCTCACAATTCGCTCTGGCTCCTGCTGACCAGTAGGTGGGCTCACCAGTAGGTTTTGGGGGTTGCTATCTTGTGCTCCAGCGGGGATGAGGAGATCCTCTCCGGTTCCTGCTCCAGCCCCTAGGGTAGGCATGGTGGAGGTGGTGATAACATACCTTGCCACTAGCTTGTCATTGTAGGCAGCTGCCTCCATCCCGCTTGCCTTCCCACTCCACGTGCCTTTGGCATTGGAGTTGGGGTCATCCGTGCTTTCCGAGTCCATGATGATGAGGGATATGAATGCTTCTGTTGCCCCCAGGAAATTCTTTGCTTTACAAATGTACTCTCCAGAGTCAAGGTAAGAGACTACAGGCAGGCCCAGGATAGACCAGCTCATCCCATCACTAGAGATCTCTTGGTGCACTGCAAAGAAGGAAAAGTGTAAAACAGTCAATTGTCACTAGAATTAATAGTCTGTTTTGTGAACTATTAGGTCTCAATCAACAGAATATCTGCCGGAGACAGCAAAATTGTTTATTTTTGCCACCAAGTACATTTCAATATTAAAGTAATTCCAAGAAAGTGACATTAACACTAAAATAAAATTACGCTAGAATTTTGCCTGTTTCAGAACAAATGGATGTGAAGCATTTCATGCTATTTCCCTCCATCTGACACACAACTTGCAAACTAAACAGGGAAGTTTCTTCCATTTTCAAAAAAACTGAAATTTCACATATGCAGGTACAATATTTATAGCAGCAGCAGGAATGGGCTGTAACACAACCTAGTTGAACACTGAATGCACTTCTCAGAGACACAGAAAATAAAAACAGTGGAGATTTTCTTCAAAAATAACACATGGATTAGTCTAGAATATATGGAGCAAAGCTGAAAAACGATTTTCCTATTACTGTAAAATTAGGGCAGGTTTTTATATAAAGTCAAACACAGGGAAGTCTGATCACTTATCAAAGCAGACAGCTCCACTAAGCAATATGTATGCAGCTGAGTGTAGACTTTCTCATTTCTTTTGCCAAGAGGCTAAAAACTAGCATTTTTTGAATTTTTCTATTTAGGCAGAAAAAAAAGAGGAGCTGGGGGTAAAGCACCTTCTCCATTATTTAACCAGCCTCCTTAGGATGAGCATGTAATACCTCTGCTTTCCGTTTAAAGGTAAACAAAGGAGATATTTGAAAGGTAAAGTTAAGACAGGATGAAAACCTCTCAAGCCCGCATGGGTCAGGATCCAGCCTTGGCAACCAAGGCACATTTTAAAGGCAGTGAAATGAAATAGCAGAAAACTTACCTTTTTCATTTAATTTTTTACTGAATGGAAATACTAGGAAACAAAGCTACCGGTTTTCCTATGGCCTTTCCCCATTCATGTAGACACTGAGCTGTTTCTCACACTTTTGTACTCAGAACACCACTATTTCAGTGATATAACAACATTGGCACAGGAGCTGCCATTGCTGAGAAACGACCATATTTTCAGCCAACTTTTTACTAAAAGGTGCTCAAGTCTGATTTGATGGGGCACAAAATCCATCATTCTCAGTTGTAATTCAAAGTAAACTCAACATACATTTTCAGGAAAGCATCCTCTGTTCTATTTTTTGCTGTGACTTTCTTTCAAATGTATGAGAAATGTTTGCAGCATTAGGATAGACATCATTGTAAGGAGAGGCTCTGCTACAACCTGTACATCATGCAGAGCAAAGGAATAGCTTGTGAAGGTCTCACCAAAAGGTTACTTAACACAAGTGGTTCCGCTGCTGAGAAGAGAAATGCTCTCTCCTATGCATGCACTGCTATAGTAACCTTTTGTAGCTGAGACCCCACACTTTCCAATCAGGCCAGGAGACAGTACCACCTGGGGGGATTAGAAAAAAAATGAAGGTGCAGGTTCTGAGCTAAAACCTTAAAAAACTAAGAGCATTGAATGTAGCAGTGGTTTCTTTCGTAAATTCCCTGCACATTAAAGGACCAACTCACATTGCAATTCTGTGTCCAAGAAGTCAGAATGGAAATGAAAATATGATTGTTCACAAAGGCAGAAGCTATCCAAAGACTCCCTCCATGAACAGGGTATGCAGGAGAGGAATTTGGTCACTGTATCACCTAAAGAGCATTTTTCAAAGAGGCCTCATCAACTCTTTATAACTGAACCATTGGAAGCATGGCATTTTTACTGGAGTCATAGAGTCATAGAATGTTCAGGGTTGAAAAGGACCACAATACTCATCTATTTTCAACCCCCTGCTACGTGCAGGGTCGCCAACCAGCAGACCAGGCTGCCCAGAGCCACATCCAGCCTGGCTTTGAATGCCTCCAGGGATGGGGCATCCACAGCCTCCTTGGGCAACCTGTTCGAGTGTGTCACCACACTGAGAAAAAATCTTCCTCTGAATGCTGTATTCCTCAGCGGTTCAGTGTTTTTTTTATTATTATTTTGAATCTATCAGTGCCGTAATGTTGCATGTTTGCAGTCTTCCTTCTTCGCCACAGAAGATCTGAATTCCAGCTGACATCTCTCCTCCAGAGATGTTCCCTAATTGATTAATAGTAGCTCATATTTACTCTTAAAGGCCCAAAAAAGAAGTCAGTGGGAACCCTTTTCATTGACTGAATAGCTAGCTAAAAAGAGTCTCTTGCTACAGCTGGACACATCTCATTTCTTCAGCTCCAACAGATTTGCAGAAAACCCTTCAAGTCACCTCACCACCAGCATAATTGTGAAACAAAACAAAAAATGATAGCATGTATTTATCTGATGATATTTACATTAACATGTAAGCAATTTTACAGCCTACAGAAAATTTCAATGCTACAGTGAATTACGCATACTAATGTACTTCTTAAGAGCATCTCTGCCAAGAAGGACCTGGGAGCATCTCTGGTATGAAGACAGGCTGAGGGAGCTGTACTTTTTCAGTCTAGCAAAGAGAAGGCTGCAGGAAGACCTCACTGTGGCCTTCCAGTACTTAAAGACAACTTACAGACAGGAGATAAATTGACTTTGTTCATGGGTAGATAGTGATAAGACAAAGGGCAATGGTCATAAACCAGAAGAGGGAAGATCTAGATTAGATATCAGGGAGGAATTTTTCACTCAGAGGCTGAAAAATGAGGCTGCCCAGAGAGGTTGTGGATGCCCCAGCCCTGGAGGTGTTTAAGGCCAGACTGGATGATGCAGCTCTGGGTGATCTGATCTATTGCCTGATTTAGTGGCTGGCAACTCTGCCATGGCAGAGGAGTTGGAACTAGATGGTCTCTGAGGTCTCTTTCCAATGAAGCCATTCTATGATTCCATAGTGAGTTACAGTGAATCTTAATGTTGCACCCATTTCTTTTTTGGGGGGTCTTTTGTCAGTGGGAAGTTGCTACTGTCATAAGCTTCCATATGCTTTGCAGACCACAGAAAATAATGGTATAGGACTCACTCACTCAGTCCACACTGGGGAAAAAAAACTTAAGCTTAAATGTACCTGTGCCATTTAGAGGAGCACCGTCAGCCCTTCTCCAGCTGAGCTCGGGAATGGGCACCCCTGTCGTCCCACATCGCAGTAGCACAGTGCTGCCCAGGATGGTTTTTACTTTGGCTACAGACGTATGTACAACAGGGCTTTGACACTTCCTTAGCTCAACTTGGCTGAAGAAGACTCCTGCAAGGCTGCGGGGTGTGAAGCATTTCAGCCTGGGCTCAATGAACGCTATGTTGGGAGACTGGAAATTCAGGAAATGGACCATTTCATACAGACTGCAGTCACACACCCAAGGATTGTCTTGCAAACCTGTCAAAAGAAACCAGAGCACTCAGTCACTCCAACAGTATTCTTGTTTCTGCCAATTTTGTTTCCGTTTTTCAGCAGGACAAACTGATAGATTCCCAGTCTGCCCCTAGAAAAGGATATGCATGGGGATCGTAGTTCTGCTGCTGTTGGCTGAAGTTGAAGCATCTCACAATACTGGTCAGTGGAATGGAGAAAATCGGGTTTGCTAAGGTATCTCAAAACCTGGAATTAAATCACACTCGTGAAGTTCCAAGCAAGGTAATTTGTGCAAGAACACGTCACTATTTATGTGTGTAATCAAGCAAAACAAATAGTTTGTTATATACTTTGGAAAAAATAGTTATGGGAGCGAGTTGGTTATTTGTTTTCATTTTCCTAATAAGACACAGGCTATGAAATTCTTCTTGCCAGTGATCTTGAAAATTATTAGCCAGCTATAGGCTAACAATCAGGCCTACAGAGGGCCACACACATCTATTAGGCAGCACCTGTATTAAGAGTATGCACATAGGAAGAGATATATTAAAGAAAGAACTCCTGCTTCACTGTCCCAGAACGTTTCTCTTTTTCTGCTTTTCTGCTGTTTCAGAACTGAATTCAAATTCTGAAAAAAGAAAAGAGATAGTATCCCATTAAAAATAGATTTGTGAAGATGGTACTGAAAAAGCAAAATCAGATCTGGAGCGATGCACAGGCACGAATAGAAGCCTCTGCATTCTGACTAAATCTGTATGTCATCTCACTCAGAAATATTCACATTTGCCTGTCCTACAAACAGTTTCTGGTCTTTAATGGCTTTAGCTAGCAGCACTGCCACTGGGGATTTTAGACTAAATCCAGGTATGCATTTGAAGACTAAGACAGGAGCTCAGTGTCCCAGACTTGTCTCCAAAAGGGCTTCACCCTCTCTTTTCAGCAGGCAGCCCAAAGACAGGGCTCAGGGCTTGGCAGCAGCCTGAAAGTAAAGACCACTACTATCCCCACGATTCCCAGCAAGCAGAAACATCTGCCCATGCAGCAGTGCTGCTACTGGCCCCTGGAGCATGGCAGCAGCAGTCACGCAATCTGCAGCTTTTCAGCAAGAACCAACACTTGGCACAAGCACAGGGCGTGCAGCACAAGGCTCCGTAAGCATCAAGGGGTTGCTTGAATTTGCTAGAGTCAGCAGAAACACAGTACATCAAAAGATCCTGATGCTCCAAATGAAGTGTTTTACAGATTCTGCTGAAAAATATCTCGCTGAGACCACTACACACCATCCTCGATAGGCTTGAAAGGGAGTCCAGGCAGGAATGCACCACTTATTAATTAAAATATATAAAAGGAGACTAAAGAAAGAATGAAAATTAAGATCTCAGCTGTGTTATTTTATGGCATTTTTGCTATCTGCTTACTTCTGACTTCATGTACTAGATTACAATTTATTCTAGATATTCTGGTAAAAAAAAAAAAAAACCAGCTTGGACTTTTTGCATTGCCACTTTAGTTCCTGTACAGACTCATCATAAATTAAATGATCAGTAGAGCCATCCTTCATGACACTTTACATTATTAACTCTGAGATCTGCTTTTTCCCTTTCACAGGCAGGTCACGTGGGCAATCTTCACACTCAGAATCTTGCAGTCTTGTCACAGACTATCAGTGAGGAAACTATTGCTGAAACCACTTTTTCTTGAAGCAACGAACAAGCAAGGGCCCTGAAGAGGATTCACAATGATGCAGTGTAGACAAGGGAAAGGACCGAGCTAATTCTTTGCTGTTCTTGGATTATTTATGCCTCCATATGAAACAGTCAAATGAAACATATGAAACAGCGGAGCAAAATAGAGACATGCAGCTGTCTACTCTCATTTTGTTTCTGCAAAGAGACACGTTTCTCCACAGATGTTAGCAGAATAGGAGCTAGGAGGTGTATACGTTACCCTATGAATTATACTAGCATTATACTCATTTGCTCACATGAATTTTTCAGAATCCTGGAACAGACAACCTGTGTGCAGCTGCTTGTGCAAACACTCAGGTTGGCCATGAGCAGCAAGATGATCTGTTCTTCCTGACAGTACGCTCACTTCCATATTGAACAGAAGAATGCCTTTGTAGGCAACTTTACTCTGAAAAATAAATTAAGAAAATGATATGAGCAGTGTCTTGTCTTGCCACAAACAAAACGGGCAATTCCAAACACTGGGCTTAAAGAACTTGATGTCACACCTGGCAAAACAGGATGGGGAAACACCTGCTCCTTTCCTGATGCTAATCAAACCTTAACACCTGCTACGGACACTAGAAGATTTTACGTGGCAATTTGATTCTTTTTAAGGTTCTGTGTCTCTTTCCACTGCGACCTGGTTTTAAAAATTGTATCTCCCCTAAATTTATCCAGAGAACAAGAGCAGATTTTGCCAAACACTTCCCAGAGTAAGAGAAAATGTTTCCGATTAGATTATCGTCAAATGCCTGAACTCACACCCATAGTTGTAGACACAGTACCTGCAGATGCACATATCCCATGGAGCAAAGAGCAGTGGAGCTATGTCAGTTCATAACAAATAAAGACAGCAGATGGCAACAACTCTGAAACATCATCAACCTGCTGAGGATTTGAACAAGCGTACTATGGCTAAAAGGCTAAGCAGTAATCCCATGAACTAGTAAGTGGACTCAGAACCTCATCTGAGTATACCACAATTTGGAGTAATTAAGACAGTGGTCTGTAATATACTCTGTGACACAAAAATGTACTATTGACCTGGACCATACCTCTGAGGAGCACAGAAATGCCACCAACAAGTGGATTCTCAGCCTTGGAGGCAGCATTATTTTAACGGCTCTTTGGAAACTGAGGTTTTAATTCTATGTGGACAGATAAACGAGACTCTTAAGAGGCACATACTAGGACAAACTGGCTGTTCTGACCCAGATTTTATGCTCAGCAGCAGGTTTACTCCTTTTTTACTTGGACATAAGAAGAATCCATCTTTTTCTTTAATGCTGCTTAAAACTAATCAACTCCATGCCAGCTGTTAGTAGGAAACAGCACTTGAAAGATATGGAGCTCTAATCAAATTTGTATGTTCAACAAAAGTGGCAGTTTCTTAAATAAAAAGCTCCTGAAGAGGAGAGTAACTGGTTTTCTGTAAGAAAGACTCAAGTCTGTGATAAAGTTTAGGGTGTAATAAACTGGGTGTGGAAAGGCAAGTTGGTTAAGGTGTAAGTGAACGTGCACACTTTGTATAGGGCATTAAATGAGCAGTGTGCATGTCATAGTAATTACAGTGAGTGAAAATGCTACGATGACATTGGGATCTCTTGTCATTTTGCCTACTGCAAAATCACAGTCACTCTTACCTAAGATGATCTTGGAGTTATCATTGGGAAAGTAAGGGACCGCCTGCAGGTTGGCCCAGGTAGAAATAAGAGCCTGAGGAAGAGTCATCAGTTTGTTGCTAGACAGGTCCAGGTACGTGATATTCTTGATGTAACGAGCAGCATCTGGAGGGATTGAGGTAAGTTCGTTGTTGTGTAAATCCAGAAGCCTTAACTGTGGCATGTCAGACAGTGTTTCCCAGGGAAATGATATTAAGTCATTTCCATCTAGCCTCAGCTCCAGCAAGCGACGGAGGCCCTTGAAGGTGATCCCGCTGAGGCTGGCCAGGGAGTTATAGGGCAACCAGAGGTACTCCAGGTTATGAAGAGCGTGGAAAGCTTCCCCTGGCACCCTGCGGATGGCTGTCTTCTCTATTCGAAGCTTGAACGTATCTACAGGGATGTTCACGGGGGTGAGGGTCATCTCTGGGTCATTACACAGCACTGTCCTGGTGAGAAAGAAACACAGATGCAACTTCCTTATATTTTTGAAGACGTATATTTGAGACATTTTAAAAATTTTAGCACAATATTTTATCTGCCTTTCTTTTTTCAAAAGCTTTATTCTTGTCATTTCTCACTTGCTGCTGATTCCCACATCATCAGCGTAAGTACATTTGGCTTGCACTAATTCATACGTACACACACTTATTGACTGCAGAGATTGCACTTTCCTGAAGTGGTATGAATCTGACTCTGGCCCATATTGTGTTCCTGCTTTTTTCTCTTCAGGTTTTTACGGTCCTTATGACAGACAGCAGTCCCAGTGCACAGCAGAAGATGCTAATGCATTTTAAAATAAAAGGATCAATAAACCAAACATTAAAGGACATGTAAAAAGAAGCCATAACTGTCTGATGAAGTTTGGGGTGGGATAAAGTAACACAGACCAAATACAGCACAGGATCTCTGCTCATGAAGTGAGCAGACGTCAACTCACTAGTAATATTCTATAGCAAGCTCTGCTTCACTGTGAAACTGGAAGGTTTGTAGGGTCACTTCACCACAGAGATATACCATTTAAGAGAGCAAAAGTACAGAAAACTAACACTTCAGAAAATGTTTTACTGAAAGCAAGGCAGATTCATGTGTCTAAATAATTCCTTTCTATTTCTAATTCCTGGAGTTCAAATCCTGAAAACCCCATGCAGCATTTTGCAGTCTTTGTGTAAAAAACTGTAACTTTGTCTTTGCCAAGAGGAGAAAAAAAGGCAAGTTCCTAACAAAGTGCAAAGCCACCTCAGAAAACATAGCAGGTTACATCGGCACGTCCCACTCCACAAGCTAAACCAAATATCTCAAGTAATGTAATGTGATCAGTCAAGTACCATTTTCTTATCATTCTGCCTGATTGATAAATAGGACATTACAAAACTGCCAAAACCAGAATGACGTTGGCTGAAAGCAACTCTTCCTCTACTGTCTGCAGCAATAAATAACATGGCTGAACTGCTCATGTAGTTTTCCTGAAGTTAAATATTATTAGAGCCTCCAGTTAATTTATAACCTAAAAAAAACCCAATCTTTTTTTTAGATTGAAGTCATCCAGCACTTCTATGCTGGCATTAAGTCCTGCCCACTCTCAGCTGAGGGTTGAGATTTTGCAGAAGAAATAAGACAAATAAGAAAAATTCAGAGATCATCTCTCAATAAAACATTTGGTTTTGTGTAAACATGACACAAAATGTTCGCTAGCAGAGATATTATCACACCAAAACTGTACTCTGATGCTTCTTATAGTGTCCCTAAACTATGTTGCAAAGCAATAAACAATAAATCAAAGGATAATCTTCTTCTACTAGTGAAAAACACAAATCTTAGCGCAGAAAAATGCGACATCATGCTCATTAAGAGAATAATGAGCATTTGCTTTATTATGCATCTTACCAAAACACACTGCAGCTTTTTCCAGTCTCTGTAAGGAAATTCTAACAGGAATTATGATACTCATGGAGAAATTATAGGCTCTCCTGCTATTGTGCTGCCTTTAAAAAAATTCTACACTATTTGTGGCTCTGCCACCCTTCTCACTGGGACAGTTCCTGGTTTTAAAACTATGCTACCATAAAAGAGATGAAGCAGATGCACTTGATGGTGATCCAAATCCACAGGACAGCCTTTCATTGCTGTACCGTCATCTTGTCTAGAAAAAACATTTCTTCTAAAGGAGTTACCAGATACTCTCTGCCACAAACCTCCTCTACTGTGAATCAGATCTGATAAAAACGTAGCCTGTATTTCATTAGGTCAGATAGCTAACTTCTGATAACCCTTCAGAACGACTTTTTTTCTTATTGTAGTCCTCCAGTGAAATCTCTGTACAATGGTGCTTCTTCCCAGAGTGGATAACTTTTCAGCCTTACCTGCCTTTCCAACCGAAAGTTTCCATTCTGAGAATTGTCTTATTTTATTTTTATCGTTTACTTTTTTTGTTTATTGTTATCCAGAGTCAATTACTTTGCCTAAAATCTCCAACCCAAGGATTTTTTAAGTAAGCAGAATGGATTGAAGGCTTTGGTACCGCAAAATAAACCTGCTTACACTTCAGAAACAGACAGGACAGAATAAAACCAGTATACTCAGCATGAAGGCAAAAAGAGAAAAAACATTTTAACTGTATTCCTTTTTGCCATTGCCCCAGCGGTAATTATGCTGCTGTTCTCACAGAGAAGATGCCCAAACGCTTTCTCTGAAATCAGCTTACTGTGTTTTCAGAAGCTAATCCTCTGCAAATAAAGCCGGAGAGCAGAGCAACTGAAAAAATAACAGACATGAAGCCTAGACACAACATTTTCTTCTGAAAGCAACCTTACGGAGAAGAAAGAAAACCCCCAGCCCCTCGGAGAGTATCGGCATACCTGGCTTTCGTCCCTTCGTTGAGGCTGTGGAAGGCACAGCTGCACTGCGAGGGGCACGAGGTGCCTGCCCACGGCAGCCCCCCGAGCACCAAGCAGCAGAGCAAACTCACGGTGATCCACATGGCTACCTGTGCATGGGAAGGACACCTGGGCAGTAGGCAACGTGCAGGGTCTCGCCTATTGTTTTAGCCATTGACTGGTCACATCTTGTTAACTCCCTTTCGTTTTCAGCCACGCTGTGATCTTCCAGCCCTCGCTGAGTCCATCAGATAAAAAAGGATAGGCAGGGATTAAGGATGGGGACTTGAGTTATTTTCATGTAGGTGCTTATTGCTTCCTGGAACCATACAGACAGCATCGCTTCCCTTCCCTCTGGGAGCCCCAAATTCCACTCCTCGGGAAATCTGTGGCTCTCGTGTGAGAAAAAAGCAAACATATTTTGGGGGGACGTGCATAACTCTTATCTGACCAGGAATTAGTAACAGTGTGCTTTCTCAGAGACTTTGGAAATGCTTTTATGAGGAGGTTTTCACACAGACGGTGGTGAAGCACAGGAACAGGTTGCCCAAAGAGGCTGTGGATGTCCCATCCCTGCAGGCATTCAAGGTCAGGCTGGATGTGGCTCTGGGCAGCCTGGTCTGCTGGTCGGTGACCCTGCACATAGCAGGGGAATTGAAACTAGATGGTCATTGTGGTACTTCTCAACCCAGGCCATTCTATGATTCTATGATATGATAGAAACAGTATCTTATGCTACTGGAATGTAAGCCTCCTGCAAAAGAATATTGAAAATACATCGTGATATTGGTAAAAGCTGGGGGTTTTTTTGAATTTTTTTTTAATTTTTTTTTTTTTAACTCTTAGGTGGCTTTCTTTCCAACATTTAGTGAGCTCTTGGAATCACTCCTGATATTAACAAGTATTAAATAACCCAGTAAATGCACGCAAGTTTCTAGTAGGCCTGCAGAACCGAGCACTGAGCTCTCACTTGCTGACACAGCACAGCCTGGATAAGGGACCATCTGAGGGAGCACCACCTGAAGCAGAGCCATGACAAGGCTTCAGAAACACTGAGAAAAACTACTTTTGTTCACTCCCCTTGAAGACAATAGTTTCCCATCTATTCAAAAGGGCAGCTCTAACTGCAAAGCTGATTTGAAACAACGCATGTTTTCAACACTCCAAAGAACTCAATATATGAGAGAAAAGTGGAGACCATATACACACATAGTAAAGCTTAAGCAGTTGCTCTTTGAGAGAGGAGCAAAATTTAATTCTTACAAACCAGGACATCTCATTCTTACAAGGGTTACTATTTTCTGGTGAAAGTATGCATACCAAATATACCACAAATGTGAAACATTCCTTTAAAAGTAAAAATCTTTGTTGGAATTTGTAGGTGATTACATTCAGCCTGATTTGATTGCTACTCCCACACTTACCAGTACGGCTGCCTACTCCATAATAGCTTTGGCACACCTGTGTCATACAGAAAACATAAAGCACAGGTTAAAAATTTTAACAGAAGTGCGGAGTGATGGAACAGAGCTGAAAAGCTAGCAACAGAGTACTAACCAGGCACAACTCATTCTTAGATGCTTTAGGAAAATGTTTCTCATACTTCTGGAGTTCAGGATAGCCACTGTGTCCCAGATGCCTCACTTCAAGAAAAACAAAAGAAATTCCACCAAGACTTTATTAACTCAATTGGAAGTTTACAGTCAGATTCTCCCAATGAAATTAGGGCATAGGATCAAATGTAGCTGGCCGAGGCAGGAATCACCTGGCATCCTATTGGCTTTTCAGCACCAGTCACTTCCAAGCTTCACTGTTCTTTAGCTAAGGTTGGAGGAGAAAAGCAAAGAAATTACAACCACAAATATGTTCTCTAAAAATTAGGCTTTGTTGGACCTTAACTATAGTCACATTGTACAGAAAAAAATGCCATGACAGATTCTTCCATCCTCCTCTTATACCTAAATTCATATTTCCCAGGGAGAAAACCACAGCTCTGCACCTTTTTAAAAGAATGGTTGTACCTACAACTGCCCTTCTGCAGAGTATTTGAGTGTCACATCACACGAACTGTCATGATGCCAAGGAAGAAATAGGAACAATCTCATCCAAAAGACGTTTTGGAATTTTGAAGAAAAATTAAAATTAAAAAAAAAGAAAAAGAAAAACAACCATAGATGTTTCAACATGTAATGCTTCTGCCTAAGAGTGCTATGAGAGACAGATGTATTTTGAAGAGCTGATGTGGATGTTATTTTTCAAAACTCCAAACTCTTTCATGCTTTCCTGCAGGTAGAAAAAGCATGAAAAGCCTAAGCCAGCCATGCAAATCTTTATAGATCTTTTCTAGCCTTCCAATCTTTGCAATCCCATGGAAGAAAAGCATTCATGCAATCCAACCTTGCGCAGCCAGCTCAGATCCCTAACTAGACTAATCCTTGATAGTCGTCAAGATGGCCAGGGTCTTCTAGAACAAGTGCAACAAGGATAGGCAGTTGCTGAAGCTGGCCTCTGCTCCCATTGGAAACAGGAAACGTAGGGAGCTCATAGCTCCTCAGATAAGCTGAGTGCAAAAGGCTACGTGGTGTAATTGCCCTCATGTCTCCACTGCAACCCTATTGCCATCTTGCTCTCCTATTTGTTGTGGACGTGTTTTGTTGTTTTTTTCTTTCAAGTATAAAGACAGAAGTTACTAGTCAAAAGTGAAGTAACAGAGTATCTATTCTCACATGAAACTACTTGAAAGTTAATAAGTATATTACAGCAGCAGAACAAGACATTGATCTTAAATAAGATTGCTAACTCGTTTTGGTATATATTTGTTTTCATGCAGTGTTCTTCTGACAGTGTGTTCCCTTTCACATCTAGCTCAAAACTGCAGTCCATATGCAATATGGCTATGAGTCGGTTATCTTGCTCCACAAATAGTAAACAGCCCAAGAGCCTTGTAAACTCTCCTGCGTGGAAGTGGGATGCATAATAGGACCTCCTCTTGAGAGATGCTCAGAAAGGTGGGTCTACCAAGTAAGAAATCTCTTGCTGAGAAAAATCTTTGGCAAGTGATTAATACCTAGCTTCTTGACAACTTGCAAGTAATTTGCTAAGGATGTTTTAGTGGGACAATCTAGCTAAGCAAAGCACTGACGAAGGCTGGGGAAAATTTGAGACTGAGGGTGGATTTGGCTGCATCCAGACTCGTCCGTGGAGGGATCTGGAAAAAGCAGACGGTTCATTCTTAAGTCCAGGAATGGAATAGGATCCAGTAGCTTCTAGACTCTCCAGAGTCCAGGAGGCAAAAGGAACTCCATTCCAAACCCTTGAGACTCAACAGGAGACTATTCTCAGTATAATGTCATCAGATCCAGAGGGCATCCTTGGTGTAATGCTGTCTGAACGGGTTTTCTTTGTAGTTTTATATAGTATATAATGTCTTCTATGTAATATTTTTAATGTAATTTACAATTAAATGTTCCTTGATGCTTTAGTAAATAATCAGGTGCACCTTGCTACCTCAAATCTTGTTAAACTTGTCTTATTTATAATAAAGTTTTGTTAGATCACCATATTATATCAGTAAATATATTGCTATTTCTCTCTTAAGAATTAAGTGTATAATTCCATTTGCAACCTCTTCAGAAGAATGAAATTATGCTGACAATTTTTTAATACATCTCAGAGTTTCAAGATAATCTAAATGTGTTTCGGGACTAACTATTAAACAGACATTTTATGGCGCCATAGTTTTGCATAAGCTTGTTCCACAAGTAACTCCGATAATTAATTAAAGCTTGTAGAAATCACTTAGTGAGAGGATGGCCCAAAGGATTATTTTTCCCTATGTTATTTTCATATACTATTTCCTCTTTCTCAAAAAGAAATTCAAGTATTTCAATACTTATTTCTGAAAAGATGGAAACGTGATGCAGTGATCATTAAATATCCACAGTTGTTTTCTCATCAACTTCCATTAGGTCCCATTTTTAGATTTAATGATTTCTCAGTTCCCTTAATAATCTCCAAGCCAAGATCAAGCTCATTTGCTTTTTTAGTGCACTCATTGGTCAACATGCCTTGCTTCCCAGACACTGCCTCAGGTCAATATTAGCAACATCGACTGAAACACCTTTCTTCCCAATGAAGTTAAATTCTACTCGAAAAGGCAATCCAACATAATTAACCTCCTATCTCTAATGTCTTCAGTGCATCAAACAAAGTGGTTTCCCTTCACTTGAGCTTTGGAATAATAACCTTGTAGATAGTAGCCAATGACTGTATGGTAAGATTTATTTTCACCATCCTCAATTTTGCCTCATGAGCGAAAAAACTTAAATTACAACTAAATACCAGGAGCAACAGAAGTAAAATTAATTTATAATTAAAAAAGAGAAAGAAATAAAGCATGCGTTAGCAGATGCTAATGCTACGTACTTCGCCTATTTAGCACAACTGACTTGCTTCAAAACAAGAGAAAGATTTCATATATACATCTCTAGTGCAAATGATGGGTTAAGTTTCAAGCCACGAATACAATCATGTTAGGCTTCACCTGAGTGGTAAAAAGAGTACAATAGGCATTACCACGAAGAAAGTCTCCAGAAATTCATCAGGAGTTGAAGAAACTAGTGTGGGCAAGTTCTGGACACAAGGAGCTGAAGACAACCTCAGTGCCTGGGGAGCAGAAGATTTTCCCTGGTGAACGGGGTTCATAGCTGCAACAGAAAGAAGCAGGTGGTGAAGAAAGGAGAGAGGTGTTAGAGGAAAAAAGGAATTAAATGATCTAGTCTAATCATCAGCCCATCCCAACCATGCTCACTAAACCAAGAAGAAGCTGTTCCTGCTCGCATCCATGCTTCCTCTCAGAAAGATGGCAGAGAAAAAAATCAAAAGTAAAACCTCGCAGTGGCATTCAAATGACCCTGCCATTGTCTATTCACTTTTTCCACACAGTTCTTGTTTCTTCCAATGACTTGTGTGCAGTGCAGCAGCTTTCTAGATTTTCATGGTATTTTTAAGGCTGAATTGCTTTATCTCCTCCCAGCTACTGTAGAGATATTCACAAAATAACACTACAAAATTTAAAATTAGCATTCATTAGCTAATTCCTTTG